TTCTTCTTCTTCTTCTTCTTCTTCTTCTTCTTCTTCTTCTTCTTCTTCTTCTTCTTCTTCTTCTTCTTCTTCTTCTTCTTCTTCTTCTTCTTCTTCTTCTTCTTCTTCTTCTTCTTCTTCTTCTTCTTCTTCTTTTTCTTTCTTCTTCTTCTTCTTCTTCTTCTTTTCTCTCTCTCTCTCTCTCTCTCTCTCTCTCTCTCTCTCTCTCTTTTTAAATAGGGTCTTCCTTTGTTGCTCAGGCTGGCCTGGAAATATTAGCCTCAACCCTTCTCCTGCTTTGGTCTTCCCAGTAGTGAGCCACCAAGTTCAGCTACTTGAGCTGATTTGTTACGTTTAGCTGGTGGTCCTTCCCAGTGCCTCTAGAAACACTGACACCAGGGGGCAGCCTAGTGCCTCTGTTGAGTTGCAGGCCGGCAGATCTGACACAGCTCAATCTAGATAGACCTTTTTTGTCTTTGAGCTCCAAACATGACCAATCAACTTCATATGCCAAGGCTGTCCCCTCACTCTTCTATATTCCACTGGTCAAAACCAAAATTCTAGCCCCTAAGGGTCAACGGCACCTTGTCCCCCCACCTTACTTCTGACTTCCTAGCTGTCCAGGCCTCTGTTAAGATCACCGCCCCCTGACCTGAACATACAAGAAGTACCTTAACGCCAGGCATGATGGTACATCTGTAAACCCAGTGTTTGGGAGGCTGAGGCAGGATGATCACTGAGTCCAAGGCCAAGCTGAACTACATAGCAAGACCCTGTGTCAAAAATAAAACAACAAAAATAAAAAAAAAAACAAGGGCCGGGGAATTAGCTCAGTGGTGCCACATAAGGGCCTGAGTTTGATCCCCAATACCAAAACCAAAACCAAACAACCCAAGAAGGGTCTTGAAATAATGAGCTTACCATCTCATCAACTCTTCTATGTGGCTGGGGATGGTGGCATACACCTGTAATTCCAGCTACTTGGGAGCCAAGGCAGAAGGATGGCAAGTTTGAAACTAGTCTGGCCAGTGTACTGAGAACTTCTCAAAATTTTTTTAAAAACAGCAGGAGACTTAGCTCAGTGGTAGAATACCCCTGGGTTTGAACTCCAGTATGGAAAGAGGAAAAACAAACAAAAACTTCCTCTACCAAAAAAAACCACATCAGGACACACTTAATTCTCATTTATTTTCACCCTTATAAAAGCCTCTCCTTAATTATGCTGCCTGTCCTCCAGGGATCTTCCTCCAGAAGGCCAGTGGATGCATGTCTCTGGGGAGTGCTTGGGCAGGTGAGGGCAGAGATGCTCCAGTGGAGAGAGGTTCCCAAGGAATGGCATCACCTTCCTGCCAACTTCCTCATTGCCTCCTCTTCAAAGCGGAAGGCATGCCAGCCCTCCGCTTGGGTTAGATCTTGGGCTCCTAGGGTCTTATAAAAATCGATGGCCCTCGTGTTCCACTCCAGAACTGCCAGGCGGAAGTGGGAGCAACCCTGATCCAGGGCCACCTGTGGGAGAAGACATCACTCACTCTCCTGGGGTCATAAACAAAGACTTCCCCACATCCCCTTCAACCCAGGGGCTCTCACATATCCTGGTCTTTTCAGGGCCTCAATTGTAGCTCCCCTTTCTCTGCTCACCTCAGCCACCTTTTTTATTATTTTGGAACCAATCCCTTGACCTGTTGTGGGGAGAAAAAGGCAAAAAGAACTAATGTTTGAGTTGAAGGCAGTTGGAAAAGGCCATGGGCTGTGACTGGGGGCAAAGGGAGAACAGGGGGCTGTGAGGTTGCTTGGGTCCACTTTGGTCTCAGACCCTGCCCAGTACCCCGATATTCTGGCATCACATAGATGTCTTCCAGATAAACGTTGCGACCTTTCCATGTGCTGTAGATGAAGAAATACAGTCCATAACCCACAATGCGGGGCCCTGGGAGAGCAAAAAGAGGGGTAAGGCCTCTCTCTAGAACAGTGCGTGGGAAATCTCTAAAGACGACTGAAGAGGTGCTCTTACCCTGTCTCTCTCCAGGTGCTGGAAGAATCTCTGCTACCAAACAGTGATAGGAAGGATTCTCTCCAAAGCCATGGGCTCTAAGGTCTACAGAGATTGGAGGTATGACAGAGACACAGAGAGAGGACCTGGGTGTATGCGCAGCCAGGAGCTGCTAACCAGGGAACACGTCTCACTTCCTGCCCAGTACCCCAGTGCTGAGTACCAACCTTCTTCACTGATCTTCACCTCATCCGAGAGTTTCTCGAATTCAGCCAATTCCTATAGTGGGCGTGGGAATGAGGCGTGGTCAGGGCAGCCCCCTCCCCCCCACTGTTTCCCAGCAGGGCCCAAGGCCCAGCCCTACCCTGCTCTGTCCCACCTCCCACTCCCCAGCTCCGAAGGCGCCACCCTGACACCCTCTCCCTCACGCTGGTTTTTTTCACCCGAATGAGCCTCATGAGGTCTCCACAGTCTCCCTCCTTGGCTGCTCGGATGTGCACGAAAGCCATCCGGATGGATCCCCACCAAGTGGATTACAAACAATGATCCCCACTTCCGTTCTGCAACGCCGAGCAAAGGGCCTAGAAACTCGGATCCTGAAAAGCCGGAAGGGAGAGACAGCGGAGGTGCCAAGGGTTCCCAGCTGAGCTCGAGTACTGGCCAGGTAGAACTGAGAGAATTGTCGGTGGGCCCTCACCTCCGAAACAGTCCCTAAATTCTGTTCCTGTAGGCGTACACCTGACAGCCAATCGGCTTGCAGAATAGGCGCAGCCTCGTTTCCCCAGCTCCGCCTCCGACACCAGGTCTCGTGACAGGGCCCAGGGCAGTGATCAAAACATTGTGCCAGCCTCCATCAGCGTCAGCGTTACCCAGGCCCAAAAGTCATTCCCGAGATGAATTGATGTATGCAGAGATTGACTATCTGCTTTAGCTTTCACTCTCTCCAACCAGTCAGGCCCACCCCAAACCTCTGCTCTAACAGGTGTTGCCTGCATTTCTGTTATGTTATGAGGGGCTGGCGATGGAACCCAGGACCTCTAGGTACATTTACACCACTGAACTACACCTCCAGTCCTGTTTTCTATAGCAGTTGAGCTCAATGTTTTTTTTGTTTGTTTTTTTTTAGACAGGGTCTCACTGTGTAGTTGAGACTGACCTGGAACTCACTATGTAACCCAGGCTAGTCTCGAACTCACAGTGATCCTCCTGCCTCAGCCTCTGGGATTACAGGCGTGAGCCACCACGCCCGGCTATCAATGTATTTCTTTTCTCAGGGACACTTGTGTTTTAAAATGGGTCAGGAAAAGCCGGGTATGGTGGCATACACCTGTAATCCCAGCACTTGGGAGGCTGAAGCAAGATTACAGCAAGTTTGAGGCCAGCCTTGGTTACATACTGTTTTCAAGGTCAGTCTGAACTGCATAGTGAGACCCTGTCTCAAAAAACAAAACAAAACAACAAAACCCAAATAAAATCGGTCAGGGAGACTGAGTGTATGCACGTGCCTGTAATCCCAGCACTGGAAAGGCAGAGGCAGGAGAATTGCCACTTGTTTGAGGATAGCCTGGGCTACATAGTGTATTCAAAGCCAGCCTGAACTATACAGCAAAATCCTGTCTCAAAAAACAAAAATAAATGGGTCAGGGAGAGAGAGAGTGATGAGTTTCTACTGGTAGACCACTAGGCCCTGTAATCAACTGATAAGAGAGATCATTGGGAGTAGGGGAAGGCCCCTTCTTAATATCTATCAAGTTACACACAGAGACAATGCTTCTTGCGAGACAAACCTCAGAGGCCTGGGAAACCTGGAGGAGTCTAGGCCAGATACTGGGCACTGTGGCCTGCCTTATCACCATTAATCCCCATTCACAGCAGTCCCATAAAGAAAGACCTATTTTCCTCATTTGACAGACAAGGACACTGAAGCACGAAGATGAAGTGATGTGCCCAAGGTCCCTTGGCCAGATTCTTGGGATTCCACTTCTTATCTCTAGTCTTGCTGGAGGATGCGGTTTGAGCAGCCCAGGCTCTCATATCTCTGAAGATCCTCTCGTCCCCAGGCGGGCAGTAATGCTTGGAGGAGCAAGGTCAGGCTCTGGGGGAGGAGTGGGGAGAGATGAGATGCGGTGGGCTCCCAGCTCATAAAGCTCTCTGCTGTGGCAGATGGTAACAGAGGAACTCTGCCCCTTTTCCCATTTGCTTTCAGAGGAGCCACAGGGTCAGTGTCCCTGTCTCTGGCCCTGTCCTTCGCAAGGGCAACCTTTAACCTTCCACTGCCTACACATGAGGCTGCCTATGCCTACTTGTTCTCCTGAGTTTGAGCCACAGATTGGACTGCAGCTGATTATGAAGAGCAGAGGTCCACCAGCCCCCTCATACTGGATGCTGTTGCTGTTATTGCTGTCACCTCCTTACATCCACCAGGGATGGGCCTTGGGACACATTATTTCCACCCAGGTATGAGGGCTGAGGGTCCTTAGCCCATGTGTTTGTTTGTTTGGTTTTTGGTTTTTGTTGTTGTTGTTGTTGTTTTGTTGAGACAGGGTCTCACTATGTAGTTCACACTGCCCTGGAACTCCCTGTGTAGCCCAGGCTAGTCTCGAACTTGCAGCAAGTGTGTGTTTAAATGAGCTGTACTTTGGCGCTGTCTTCTCTTTTCTCCTCTGGCTCTGTATCAGTCTGTCTGTGTCTGTGTCTGTGTCTGTGTCTCTGTTTTTCTCTGTGTCTTTGATATGTCTTTTGTCCAGTTTGCTTATTTTCTTTTTCTCACAGAGTGCCCAAGACCCTCCTGCTAGGTACCTCAGCAGTGGCCCAGGACAAGAACCTGTTGCTGTCATGACCTTTGATTTAACCAAGATCTCCAAGTATGGGGCTCACTTAGCATCTCCACCCAGCCCCAAGACCCTATCCCCTATCTATCAGTTCTTTCCTGTTTCCTGTCTTTCTGCCCCAACCCTCAGAGACTCCACCACACACACACAGGCTTCTCTTCTGCCCTGCCCTTCTAGAACCTCCTCCTCCTTTGAGTTTCGCACCTGGGATCCAGAGGGAGTGATTTTTTATGGGGACACCAACACTGAAGAAGACTGGTTTGTGCTGGGACTTCGGGATGGCAGGCTTGAGGTCCAACTGCACAATCCCTGGGCCCGGCTTACTGTGGGTGCTGGACCTTGGCTAGATGATGGGAGATGGCACCAGGTAAGCTAGCTCTGCTCCTGGGAGGAGGGGAGTCTTATGTTGAGCTAGGCTAGGGAACAGAATAGGAACAAGTAGCTGTGTGTCACTTTGCCATTGTCATCTCATCCCGTCTACACAGTAAATAAGTGACAAGGTGTGAAGGAGCCAAGGATTCTAGCCGCCACTTCAAGCACATATTCTTTCAACCAGACTAGGGAGAGGAGAGTGGTGGTTCACGCTCCAGGGTCCCTGCTGCTGCTTCTTACCTCCTTCTGCAGGTGGAGGTTAAGATTGCTGGGGACTCAGTGTTACTATGGGTGGACGGGGAAGAGGTGCTGTGCCTGAGACAGGTGTATAGGTCCACGGTCAACCAACCACAGCCCCTCATGAGGATTGTGCTGGGGGGGCTGCTCTTCCCCACCTCCAAGCTTCTGTTTCCGGTAACTACATCATGGGGATGGGAATGGAGGCCTTGCCATAGGAATTTAAGTCCAGCTTTTGGGAGAGGGAATAGAATGCCAGCTGCACGGGGAAAGCCAGATGCTTGTGTCTCAGAGGGGAAATAACTGAGGGCGGGGAGGCTGAGACTGGGATTTTTAAATGTCCTGAGTTGATCCTGACATCCTCTCTCTCCTTCACTCCCTCCAGCTGGTCCCTGCCCTGGATGGCTGCCTGCGCCGGGAGAGTTGGCTAGGCCAACAGACTCAGCCCTCAGCCTCTGCCTCCACTGGCCTCAGAAGCTGTAACATGGAGTTGCAACCTGGGCTATTTTTCCCTCCAGGGACACGTGCTGAATTCCGTCTCCAAGGTAGATTTCTTGGAGTCTGGTTTTCCTTCTCTGGCCAGATCTGTCTTCCTCTGTCTTTCTCTAGCACTAGGCCCTTTTCTCCATGAAGCCCCAGGCTTGAGGCTTCAGGCAGATCGTTTCTTCCTCTAGACATTCCCCAGCCTCATACAGAGCCCTGGGCCTTCTCTCTGGACCTGGGACTCAAACTGGCAGCTGGATCAGGTCACCTCCTTGGCCTTGGTGCAAGAGAGAACTCTTCCTGGCTCAGCCTTCACCTGCAAGATCAAGTAAAGGGGGAGGGTGGGCGAGGCCTGTATTCAGAGAAGCCTGGGATTAGTGAGGTAAAGGCAGGCATCGAGATTTCACCACTGGGAAGGCCTTCCTAAATTTGGCGGTCCACACCTCTAATCTCAGTACTCTGGGAGTCTGAGACAGGAGGATCTCAGGTTCAAACCCAACCTAGGCAATTTAGTGATTGAGTGACATCCTGTCTCCCTCAAATTTAAAAAGGTATAGCTCAGTGTGAAGGATCTGGGTTCAACTCCTAGGACAGAGCCAAAGTCCAGCTCATTTAAACAGATGCATGAGTTTAAGTTCAGGAGGAAGCCAGAGACTATGCTGGAAGCTGCCCATAGCTAACAGATAGCTTTTACTTAGAGTGTTTGCTTCTGTGGGGGTGGGGATGGTGTCCTAGAGGGTCCAGTGGGGATTACAGTGCAGGATTTAAGTGGTGAGAACAGACAGTAGCTGGAGATGTGCCGAGAGCAAGGGATGGGGCCACAAGGAGTAAGCGTGGCTTGCCCTTCCTCTTTCCTCCTGTCCCTGTTCCCTCACACTGTAGAAGGTGGTGCTGTCTTCCGGGGCAGGGCCAAGACTAGAACTACCCGTGACCTTGGGACTCCCTCTTCAGCTGAAGCTGGCTGCATCCACAGTGGTCTTAAAGCAGGGGCCAAAGAAGGAAGTCTTTGCTATGCCTACTGAGGGCTTTGCCTCTGTTCTCAAGCTCTGGACCCAGTCGCATGGCCACCTCTTCCTGGGAGCTTTACCAGGTAAAGGATGCTGTTGGATTCCTCAGCACACCAAGGGAGCCAGCAAAAGAGGGGCCACACTTTGAGAAGAAGGAAATCTCTGGGAGAGAAAAAAAGGGTACAGAATAGAGGGGATAGGGCTGGGTGGCATTCAATGGTAAAGTGTTTGCTTAGCCTACATGAGGCCTTGGGTTTTATCCCCAGCACCTCAGTAAAAAGAAAAATAAGAAGATAGGGATGGGTCAGGGATTTAGCTCAGCAGTTCGGTGGCCTGCCTTGCAAGCTCAAGGACCGAGTTCAATCCCTGGTACCAAAAAAAAAAAAAAAAAAAAAAAAAAGTGCTTTAGGAAATTTAGGTTAAAAAATTGGAGATGTGGGGGAGCTTCTGGATTCAAGCCACCTTAATATTCTAACCCCACCTCTGTGCCACCTCCCTCTAGGAGAGGACTCTTCTGCCTCCTTTTGCTTGAATGGCCTTTGGGTACAAGGACAGAAGCTGGACATGGATCAGGCCCTGAGCAGAAGCCAGGACGTCTGGACTCATAGCTGCCCCCAAGCAATGTCATCAATCAATGACACTGATATCTCCAATTAAAGTCCCTTTGAATATGACTCATTCATTTATTCAGCAGGTGTTTTCTGTGCGCCAGCAATGGACCAGGCCCTGTGCCAAGCACAAGGACCGGAGTTTGATCCGGTCAAAGATGAAATTTTGTTGTCTGTCATTCTGGCCTTGGATTGGCCATTGCTTGCCAGGAAAGGATCAGTAGGGGGCGTGAGAGGGTTACAGACAGGGCAGGATTTGAGACAAGGGATAGAGCCTGGGAGAAAAAAAAATGGGGAATGAGAGTACAACTCAGTGGTAGAACACTTACCTGGCATGTGTGAGGCCCTAGGTTCTATCCCCAGCCCTGAAAAAAAAAAAAGAAGAAAAGAAAAGAAAAAAGAAAGCCAGACACAGTGACACATACCTGTAATCCCAGCTTTTCTGGAGGCCAAGGCGGAGAACTGCAAATTTGAGGCTTAGGCAATTTAGCAAGGTCCTATCTCTAAATAAATACATAAAAATATATAAAAAGAGTTGAGAAAGTAACTCAGTGGTAGAGTACTCGATTAGCATTTGCAAAGTTCTGGGTTTCATTCCCAGATCTGCCAAAAAGAAAGAAAGAAAAAAGAAAGAAATGAAAGCCAGGTTCGGTGACACTTACCTGTAATTCCAGCTATTCTGGAGACTGAAGCAGGAGGATCACAAATAAGTTCAAGGTCAGTCGGGGCAATTTAGCAAGACATTGTTTCAAAATAAAAAAATAAAGGGCCAGAGATTTAGCTCAGTGGCACTGAGCTGCTTTTGCAATCACAGGGTCCTGAGTTTGATCCCCAGAAACAACAACAAAATAAATAAAAAGGACTGAGGCTATAGCTGGGGTGGGGGCTGGGGAGTGGTAGAGTGCCCATAGGTTTGATAATCCTCAGTACAGAAAGAAAGCAAAGAAGAAGGAAGGAAAGAGGGAGGGAAGGAAGGAAGGAAGCAAAAGAAGGGAGGGAGGGAGAGAAAGGGAAGGAAGGAGAGAGAAAGTAAGGATGAGGAGAAGGAAAGGACGGGAAGAAAGGGAGCAGAATAAAAAGTTGCCTCTATCTCCTCTAGTGTCTGTCCTTGCTGTGTTCCTGAAGCAATTTGTTTCTAATCCATTAAATAAGAACTGGTTTGTGCTGGTTCCAGATTGGTAGATTCGGGAAGATCTCTGCCCTCAAATAATACAGTGACCCATCCCTAAGCCCTTAGAGTTTTGGAGAATCCTGGTGTTCCAATCCTTCCTTGGGGAACTTGCATGTCCAAGCCCCCAGCCATTAGTCCCAGCCTTCAGCCTTCCTCACAATTCGTATGTCCCAGCCTGCTAGGGAGCCCTAGGGCTTCTGCCCTCAGTCCCTACCTCCCAACTCATCCTTCTCACTGAGCCATTAACATGCCCATATCTCCAGAGCCTCTGGGAGTCCCAGTATCCCAGCCTGACAATTTTTTTACAAGGTTATGCTTACCAGTAACCAAGGCAACAGGGTGTCAATCATTGAGTCTATTCTCCCTTTCTGCAGGAATCAGTCAGGATTTCAATGACCCCAGGGGAAAGAGGTTTCACAGCTCAGTCTGGACCCCCTTGTTCTTTACCCCTCCCAACCATGACTCTGTAGGCCTTCCTGGGACCTACAACTGCCTCCTCCAACCCAGTGGTGCTTGTGGGAATGTCCTCAGCATGGCAAAGGAGTCCAAGTTCAACTCTGATCCTTGTTCGATGTACAGGATCAACCTAGTCTACCTGTGTGTACCCACTCCATTGATATTTACTGAGCACCTACAAAGTTCCCGGCTGTGCTCTGGACACAGAGTATGCATCGTTGAAAAGGATACACACACTCTTTGCTGCTATGGGTCTAACAACATATTGGGGCAGCCCATAAAGAAAACAAATAAGCATCAACATTTCAGAGTTATTTAGAGTTATAAAGGGAATAAACTCCTGTACTATAATAGCAGGAAGAGGAGAAGGGGAGTATTAGCCACATGGTCAGGTGGTCAGGGAAGCTCTCTGAGGTGTTGTCACTTGAGCAGACACCTGAATAATGAAAAGAAGTTGTCCTGCAAAGGCCACCAGTGTTAAGCCAGAAGGAGAAGGTTAAAGGACTGGGTATACCTGGGCACCTACCAAGGGGCCTGTTTTGAGTGGCAACTTCCTGAACTTGTGTCCCTGGGATCTCCCAGGGGCCAGTTTTCCTCTCCTCCCTCCACCCTGTTCTCTCCAGGACACTGTGCCCCCAACTTCTCTTTCTCCAGCTTGCCCTAGATTCCAGGATTCCTGATTACTATCCAGAGCTGTCTACACTCTTTCATTAATACTGTCTGCTTTGCCACAGACTTTGCCAGGCCCCCACCAAGGGTACCTAGAATATCTGCCCAGCATCCCCTGCCTTCCCCCACCCCCCAAAAAACTTTGCAGAGCTTGGCAGCACACTCTGCAGCCTCCAGGGCTTGCCTACCCAGTCACTCCACACTGTCCGCTGCCTCTCCTTCCCTCCCTCTACCCCTCTGTCTTTCAGCTAACTTTTAGTAGCAGCTGACAGTATGCCAAGCACTGTGTTAGGTAGTCTGCAGGGACTCTAAATATGAATAAGACTTGCTATTGCCCCTGGAGAACCAGGATCTTGGGAGTAGACACAGAAAATGTTTTACTAGGGGTATCTATGAAACACCCTATGAAAGCATTTTACATGCCTGCCAAGGATTATCAGAAAGGTGAGTTGTGAGATGTGTGTAGTTGAACAAATGAGTACTATTTATTTATTTACTTATTTTGCAGCACTGGAGATTGAACCTAGTACATTTGCACTAGGCTACATCCAGTCTTTTTTTTTTTTTTGGTACTGGGGATCGAACTCAGAACCTTTGAACTTGAAAGAGGTGGCAGAACCACTGAGCTAAATCCCCAGACCCATCCCCAGCCTTTTCAATATTTTTTTTGAGACAGAGTCTTCCTAAGTCACAAAATTGTCTAGACTGAGCTCAAACTTGCAATCCTCCTGTCTTGTTTTCCCAGAATGCTAGGATTACAGGTGTGCACTGCCATGCCTAGCTATAGTTAAACCTTTTAAACTCTCAGTTGCCCTATCCATAGGGTTACTGTGAAGATTTGTATTCTTTTTTTTTTTTTTTTTTGGGTCAGGGTCTCACTATGTAGTTGGGTCTGACCTGTAACTCACTATGTAGCCCAGGCTGGTCTTGAACTCACAGCAATCCTCCTGCCTCAGCCTCCTGAGTGCTGGGATTACAGGCATGCGCCACCATGCCCGACTTGTGAAGATTTGATGAAATCAAATTATCTAGGCCAGCATTTGGCATTTAGAAGATACTCAAAGTATGAGATATTTTGCTTTTTGTTGTTGTTTTTGGGAAAGTCTTGCTATGTAGCCTGGAATTTGTGGCAATCCTCCTGCCTCAGCCTCCTGCATGCTGTAATTACAGGTATGCGTCAACACAATCAGCTATGTTGCTCTTTCTGTTAACCGCATGCATATTTTTGTTTTGTGTTGAGATGGAGTCTCACTATTTGGTTCAGGCTGGCCTTGAACTCACTATGTAGTTTAGGCTGGCCTCAAACTCACCTTGATCCTCCCAAGTGCTGGGATCACAGGTGTGCTCCACCACCCCAGTCTTCTTATGCATGGTTTTTGACATATAAATCTAAGCCTGCTGGATTTAGCTCAGTGATGCTGCCACCTGCCTCACAAGTACAAGGAGCCAAGTTCAATCCCCCGTACCAAAAAAAAAAAAAAAAAAAAAAAAAAAAATTTAAGCCTGCTGGATATAAAGAATGAGAAAGGGCATATGTTGGGGCAGATCCTCCTGCCTCACTCCCCCACCCTTACTATAATAAAATATAAGTGACATAATATTTACCAGTTTAGCTGAGCCAGTGATATACATATGTAATCTCAGCTACATGGGAAGCTGAGGCAGGAGAATGGCAAGTTTGAGGCCAGCCTGGGTAATTTAGTGAGGTCCTGTATCAAAGTAAAAAATAAAAAGACCTGGGTATGTAGCTGAGTGGTAGACAGTTCATGGGTTTGATCCCCAGTACCACAAAAAGAAAAAAAATTACCATCTTAACATTCTCTTATTTTTTTCCATCTTATCTATTTTCAAGTATTCAGCTCAGTGGCATCAAATCCATTCACATATTGTGCAAACATCACTACCATCCATCCACATAACTATTCCTTCTTTCTTTCTACCAGGAATTGAACTCAGGACCCTGTACTTGCAAGGCATGTGCGTGCAACTGAGCTAAATGTCCAGCTTTGTAAGTTTTCATCTCACAAAAACAGACCATAGCCGGCTATGGTGGTGCATGCATGTAATCCTAACACTCAGGAAGCTGGGGCAGGAGAATCACCCAGCCTGAGCTACTGATTAAGACCCTGTTTCAAAATAAAACAAAGCTGAGACTTCTCATTAAAATCCTCATGTCCCACTTTGCTCTGTTTCAGAATCTCTTTCCTTCTTGTTTCTTTCTTTTCTTTTTGGTATCAGGGATCAAACTCAGGACCTTGCACTAGTGAGGCAGGTGCAGTGCCACTGAGCTAATCCCCAGCCCTCCTTCTTTTTGTTTCTGCAAAGACACACACTGTCAGGAACCCAGACAGCTAAATCCTGGAATTGGACGGATTAGGGGAAAAGGGATGGATGAAGGGCACAGACTTCTGCATTGACTGGATTATGAGAAAAGAGTAATAGGGGCTTTTATCCCCTTCCTCCTTTCTGAAGATGCTCAGGAGAGGGCTGGGTTCCAGGGAGAGATTGGAGGTAATTTGCTTTTGTTTTTCTGGTTCTGGGGCTAGAACCTAGCACCTTGTGGCCCTAAGCAAGTTTCTACCATGGAGCTACTGCCCCAGTGCACTCCTTTCTTTCCAGGTGAGTCTGGGGTACAGGGCAGAGGCTAAACCAAGAAGCTGGAGCTCATCCCTAGACTATGTGGGGGCTGGGAGGTTTTCTCATTCTCCAGGTTAAGGCTATACCATTCAATGCTTCTTTCTGCTGCTGGGAAGAGTAAATTGCTTCCT